GGGGGGGTCGTAAAAAATGTCCAAAGAGTAACAACGATAGGGTTGACCCTGATTCGAACAGCACTATGTGGCTACTCATTCCCCGTCTTATTCTTACCGGACTAGAGTGATGCAACAGTCAACTGGCGTTGTAGAGCCTCATACAAGGCGTTTATGTACGAGATGTTGTGCAAAAAAGAAACGAACCCCGGCGTTCACATAGGTGAGGTTCGTCAGCTGTGTTACCATATTATTGATATTTTCATCATCTGAGGTGTCGAAACTCATTTCCAGTCCAGCATTGCCACATGTGTATTTGTAAAAGTCGTCGCAGGGATTTACAGTAGTGTCAAGCGACGACCTGGAATTACTTTTTATCCAATGTAATTGAGAACAAAAGAACTAAAAAAATAAATATGAAAACTTGAAACACACTTGAAGAGATCAACAGCGCTCTTGTACCCTTGGTAGTATGCAGCGCCGGAACTGATCTGCTGCGGTGGTGGAACATTCAGATGGTTCCCTGAAATTTATGTCCAGTTCTTCAAAGGTAGGTGAAAAGTACAAGGAAAACAGAAAGCTGTAAGGGAGCCTTGTATGAGCGACACCCCAGACCCATTTGGTAGGATAAAAGCGGTCGATAACGAAATACAGGAAACCTCCGACGTAGCCCTTCAGCAAGGAATTTCCCTCTTTCCTCATGGAATAACGAGGGGGTGTTGCCGGCCGGCTTTTTGTTCACTGAATAAGTTCAGACGTACATGAGCCCAAGAAAGTGGAAATTAGGGAAAGGAAAAAACTGTTCTCAGTGGGAATCGAACCACAAGTCACGGTTTCGACACGTTTTTAGCATTACCAGAGCCAGAGGTTTCCAGAGCTCAGGATAAATAATTCTCGGTTTCATGCTCCCTGCGTCTATCTCTATAATACGCAAAACATTTTTGATAAAGCGCTCCATATCCTGAAAGACATTCCTTGTAAGGTACACCATACCCTCGACTCAAAATTAGAATTGTAGACGCGTTTGCATGGTATTATTCCTACACAATACCTACAGCTTTCTAGCCACGATAGGATCAAGTAGGGACTTACATCTTCAATAA